ATAGTGGCTTGGCAGTCACGTGAAAAGTGGAATAGTCCACCTGAGCTTATTAAAAAGACCAGCTGGCCTGTGTACACCGCTCGATGGTATCCGCCGCTCGGTGGTTGATTACGTTATCTTAGTTAAGTTAGATAAGAGGCCACTCCGGCCACCCAATAGACAAGACATCCATCGCTTCCACACTACTCAGTGAGCAAAAAGCGGCGAGGGGTGAGCACTAAAACGGAAAGAGAAGGCTGTCGACCTGGCTAGAAAATCAAGTACGTATGTCGCAAGGGAAATCGCGTAACAACGGACGATGGCCGTAGGATGCCTTGACACCTGAGGCAGCAGCGATGGTTGCCACCGGGGGACTGTTTGGCATGTTTGACGCGTTTGCACTATTTGCACTGCTGTCTTGGTTGCTTTCTTTTTGTCTTTCTTCCGTCTTGCTTCTTCTTCCCCAAGCTTTTGCCATGAGATACGAAAATGGCCACCTTCAATATGTGGGCCTTGTAGCATCGAATTGCTATCCAGTACCTCGTGCGAACGTAAAAGAGGGTAGACAATCGGTCTGCCGCTTCTCGATGTCCGGCGGAAACAGAGCCATCCCCGGCTTTCCGGCGGACAAGATACCAGATGCATGGTGGTTCGTCCATCTACAGGCATCACCGGATATTTTTCCCATTGAACATGTGTGGTGATGCCCGGCGGGAAACATGCTATCGCAGACCACCAAAGCACTAATTGCGAGAGCATCGAACGACTATATAAGATTTGTGATTGCCAACTTCATCTCAAACCAACCCACCACCCTTTCCCTGATATTCCCATCACCCATCATGGCCTCCGATCTCACCCCGTTCTGGTTCAAGGCCGACCGGTACCTGATGTCCACCGGCGTGCCTTTCTCGCCCGTCGTAGTCTCCAAGGCTCAGGGTACGAGACTCTTCACTACCGATAATCGCCAAATCCTAGATTTCACCTCGGGCCAAATGAGCTCTCTCCTGGGTCATTCACATCCCGAAATTGTCGAAGTTGTTCGAAAATATGTGGGCGAGTTGGACCACCTCATCAGCAACATGATCACTCAACCCGTCGTCGATCTGGCTGAACGCTTGGCTCGTCTTCTGCCGGCGCCGCTAGAAAAGTCCTTCTTTCTGAACACGGGATCCGAGTCGACTGAGGCCGCAATCAAGATGGCCAAGCTCTATACCGGCAATTTCGAGATCGTCGCCTTGTCTGCGAGCTACCACGGCTTAACGCAAGGCGCTGGCTCGGCGACCTACTCCGCCGGCCGCAAAAACGGCGGCCCCACAATGCCAGGCCAGCTCGCCTTCCCAGCTCCTTACGCCTATCGCTCCATCTTCCGCAAGTCGGACGGCTCGTACGACTGGGAGACCGAGTTGGACTTTGGTTGGTCGATGGTTGATCGTCAGAGCGTCGGCTCGCTGGCCGCCCTCATCATGGAGCCAATTCTATCCACCGGTGGCATCCTCGATCTGCCGGAGGGATACCTCAAGCGCATGAGCGAAGAGTGTAAGAAGCGAGGAATGCTCCTCATTCTCGACGAGGCTCAGACTGGTGTGGGCCGTACCGGTCAAATGTTTGCCTTTGAGCACGACGGCGTCGTCCCCGACATTTTGGCGCTATCGAAGACCCTCGGCTGTGGTCTGCCGCTGGCCTCGGTCAGCACGACGGCGGAGATTGAGCGTGGCTGTAAGGAAGCCAACTTCTTGTGGTTGACGACCCATCTGAACGATCCTCTCACGGCCGCCGTCGGAAACAAGGTGCTGGAAGTGGTAGAACGAGACAACCTCTGCCAATGGGCAGTCGAACGGGGAGAGCAGCTTCGCGCAGGGTTGTTGAAACTTCAATCAAAATACTGGTGCATTGGCGATGTCCGCGGCCGCGGCCTTCTCCAGGGAATCGAGATCATCGCTGACGCACAGACCAAGGCCCCCGGGTCGGATTTGGGGCAAGAGGTCTCGGATCGCGCTATGGCTCGCGGCCTCTCCTGCAACGTTGTTAATCTACCGGGTATGGGAGGCGTGTTCCGATTGGCGCCTCCCGTTACAGTGCGACCAGACGAAATTGAGGAAGGGTTGGAGATACTGGATGAGGCTTTCGGGTACGTGCTTAACAGCCGGGGATTGAAGAACTGATAGGAAGGTTGCACGTCCGATGGAAATGACTACAAATGGAGGGAGTGTGCCTGGATAGTCTATCAATATTTATAATGGAATATAATCTTTGTCCGCCTTCTCACTGGTTTCACCCTCGCCCGATGTCAGCCTCGCTCGATTTAATAAAGCAAAGGGGACATTACCGCGTTCTCTAGAACTGTAGCGCCTTGAGCCAAGCCACCATCGCATAAAGAACTGGTATTTACGAGTTCATGAAGAATACTCGTTGCAGATATTCAACTGGTCATTCTCCTGTTAGTTTGAGTGGTTGGAAGTTGTGAAAACTCACGATAGCGTTTGATGCCATATTTGAATGATTGAGGTTGGAAAACAGATGGAAAGAAAAGAAGGATAACATGAACCACAAGATAAACAATACAATTTGAACGAAAAACAAGGACACAGTGAACTTACTTTCTGCACGCTACTCTGCTATCTGCAGACTTGCATGGTCAACTGAAGTCCCTAAGAGGGGAAAACAGATCCTTTCCGTGTTCAAATAAAAGATTAGTGAGAACATCCCATGAGACGCGAGGTTGCACGCCTAAAAGGCTGCTGTCTCATCATCATCGAAAATGTAACTCATGATGAGACCCGCAACGTCACCTGCCTTGCTCAGATACACGCCCACGGTTTTAATCTCTTCAACATAACCAAGGCCAGTCACGTCGACATCGACCGAGGGAATTATGTCGCGGACCTCTTGATCATAGCGTGTAGTTGCACCATTGTATTTGCGTAGCTCGACGTTGAGGGTATCGCAGTCATATCGGTCGACGTCAAACGCCATTGTTTCTTGTTGGGCCGGGGCTTTGAAGCGTAGAAGGACAGGAGTAGAGGGACGATCGTTGGGGCCAAGGTTAGTAACGTGCTTCTTGAATTCACCGGTGCGCACTCTTTCAGGCAATGCGGTTGTATCATCAGACGAGCTATCATCGTCTCCGGAATCGTCTCCGAGTCCGCCTTCGCTGGCAGGGGGGCCCGGAGGGGAGTCTCTCTGCCCTTGCGCATGGTTAATTCCCCCCTCTGCAGCCTCTGGCTCGCTCTGGTCCTCCCGTGGCTCCTCTTCTGCTGACTGCTCCGTTATCAAGACATCAGTAGAGCCTGCGTCATCGGCGAAAATTTCAGCACCCGCTTCGCCGCTTATGATTGCTTCAAGGTTATCCCTAGTGGTATCTACAACCTGGTCAATGGTGTTTTGAGCAAAAGAGACAGCGTAGTCGGATTCATTCGCTAAGCCCTGGCTTCCCACATTGACAGTAGGATCAACATCTTCGCTAGTGAAAGCGAGGGCGACTCTAGTCGAAGGACGCCATATTATTACAGCCGCCTCAATCTCGCGGATTAGTGCCTCATTTTGTGGATTTGCCATCCTGGGTAGATTGGGAATACTTCTGGTCACCTGGCCGCCTTTCTCTCGCTTGCTTTGGAGGTGACTACTGTCAATTGTGTAGATGGCGGATAGAGATTTCCGTAGCCAGATGCTGTGAGTGAGGTTTGGAAGTGATAATCCCGCGAGAGACTTTATTTATAGTTGATAAAAAAAGGGGCGTGAATGGTTTCAATGACAAAGGAAGAACAAAGCGCCATGGCAAGTACCGTGCCGCTCTACGGAATAACGCGTGATCTGTGAGTCTATGGTGGATAGTAAACTTAAACGCGCATTGTTTTCCCGGGCATAGTACTTTGAGGTCGGGGGTCGGTCATTGTTTCCCCCCTATTTCTTTTGTCTCTTGCGCCATCAAAGCACAAAGAGAGTGGAAGAAGACTTTCTTTGAGATATCTGCGTTCACAGGGTAGTTCCCGTAGATCAAGATCCAGCCCTCTGACTCCATACACAGAACGACCGTTCATTTTTGATCATCACAAAGCACACGAAAGGTAGCTACCCAGTTAGCCAAGTGTCAGCCAGCCGATCGTACCTGCCAATCCAGCCCGAAGTCATCAATCACGCGGTCATCAGCAGTAAGCATCGCCACGATATCGTGACATCCCTCATGTAAAGCAATATCCAATGCCGTCGAGCCATCGGCATCCACACGGTTCGGTTCGAGATCTTTATTCTCCAGCAGCGCTTGCACAACCAGTGGTCGAGCGAATCTGCATGCCACATGGAGCACCGTGTCCTGGTTGGCGTCCCGTTCATTCACGTCTACTCCGGAAGCAAGGATATGCTGGATCATTCTGACTGAGCCGCTCTCCACCAGCCGAGTAAGCAAGGTGTGTGGCATAGGAGTACCGAAAAAATCGATTTCATCGCGATCATAGGCCAGAAGAATATCCACGATCTGGAAATGATCACGCAACGCAGCGCAGAAGATAGCGGGCGGGAGATCTCCGTTGCAGGTATAGGACCGGCCAAGGGAACGGTCGACCAGGACCTGAACGACGTCTTTGTGGCCAAACCATGCGGCGTATTGTAGGGCCATATGATCGTGTATCGTGCTGTCGGCGGTTTCTATGGATGTGTATGGAAGGCCGTCCAGGAAGGCGTTGACCACGTCCACATGACCCTCTCTAGCGGCAACTTCGAGCGCAGTGTTATCATCGTCATCGGTCAGGCTGGCGTCGGCCTCTGTTACTAGGAGTTCAGTCACGACCTTGGCGTGCCCGTGACGGGCCGCGTAGTGGAGAGGCGTCTTCGAGTTTGGGCCCACGATTTCCGAGCTTTGCATTGAAAAAGCCAGCGTGCCTATGATTTCGGCGTGTCCAGCCGCAGCCGCGGCTCCGAGCGGACTCCCAAACGGGCCGTATCCAACAGATATGGCGTTGGCAAGCAGAGTTAGGCCAGAGTATAGAAGGTATTCAACGACTGTAGCAGAGCCACGGTATGCAGCCAACTGCAAGGGATCGCCGTAGGCGCCTTCGGAATATTGCAAATTCATTTCTCTCTCGATGAGAATATCGGTCAGATCGCCGTCATCATTGAACGCCGCGGCATACATCAAACTGCCCAGGTATTTATGTCGCAGGTTGATGTTGCGACCACTGGCCAGAAGTCCCTGAACGGTTCTCGAGCGCCCAAACCAGGCGGCTAACACCATGGTTTCATCGTCACCCCACTCGTCGGTCCAGTCCAATGGATGTCTCATGTGCTTGATTACCCATTCACGACCGCAGTAGAACGTAAGCGCATCACATAAACAATCTAAGAGTCTGAGAGTGCCACATGGCTTATCGTTGAACTTCGACATTGTGAGGTTTGCATGCATTGCGACCCTTTTTACTCGGGCAAATAGAACCTGGTCATCGAATATTTTTCGATATAACAGCTTGGAGACCAGGGCATCGCTTAGATCTTGGCTGAGACGCTTGAAATGTGACATGTTGACCAGGATCAGGTCGTCAAAAAAACCTATATACGGGGTCAGACGCCAAGGCGTGGTCAAATAGGTGGGACAGAATAACACTTACGCGAGACGAGGCGCATGTTGATGACGGTTCTGAGACTGAGATACTGCAGAATGTTGGTGAGGACCTCCACACTCTGGCTTTCTAACCCCATTTTGGCAGCTTGGCTGTCAAACAAGAGAAGGAAACACTGATATAGAGAGAAGGAAGCAAATCCTGCTGCTTCCTAATGGGCCAACGGGGCAGGGGAACACGGCCAAGATGTTGAGACCATTAACTCGTGATAGGGTTCAGTATCACAGCCAGTGCCTTGTGCTACATCTCAGATAGAGGGTTCTGAGCAAAAGCTGTTGGGTTAGTGGAACGGAGAGAATTAACACAGGTTGCTTGGATATGCGACGAGGCTCGATTAGCATGTGAGAGGAATATTGAGAGTGACCACAACAGTGAATCTTGAGCTGTGGTGTCCATCGTATGGTATTTTATTGGAAGCAAAAGGGGTGAGTTGATGAGAAACACTACTGTACAGTGCCAAGTGAACTGAGTATAAACCCGGGCTAAAGTCCGGCGGTGACACGATTCCACCTTTCACTTGTCACTTCACTTGCCTTGCGACCATAACAACAACACCACCACCACCACCAGCAGTAACCCCTACGCTCCCTTCTCTCCACCTCTACCGATCTATATCACCCCAAAAATGGCCGGTCCCCGGAATCGAAAAGAACGACGAGCCGCGGCCGCAGCGACTTCCGCGAACGACACCTTCGACCCGGCCTCGATCCCCATGGCCCACCCCCCGCGAGAATCGACGAGAAATCCGAAGAGCAAAACACTGGTGGAGTTGATCGCCGAGCGACAGCAAGATTTGATCTCTCAGGGGATGATGATGCCGAGTGGGACAAGCGAGCAGGACGCCGGGCCTGGCACGCGATTCGTGACGATCGATCCGCAAACAGGCAAGATCGAGAATTTCGATGGGTCGGATGCCAATGGTCCCAACTCGACGTCGCGCGTGCAAGAGGTTGGAGAGAACGAGGAAGACGAAGAAGACAAGGAGCAGGAGGGAGAAGGAGCAGGGAAAGAAGAAGACACCCACTCGCCCGACGACGCGCCGCCCATTCCGCCCTTCATCGATACGCTACTCCTCTCGATTCCCCTGACCACGCTACACTTGACCTTATCATACCTCGCCGCCCACCAATACGCGGAAAGCATCAATATGGAACATCTTCTCAAGGATTCGGGATACGTAGCGTTCCCCATCCTTACCTTCCTGGTCCATCTGGCCCACGGACATATTGTATCGATCGCTATTCGCGGGGACCCCCGCGCCAGTGAATCGATATCGCTTCTTCCCTGGAGCCCGGAAAAAATGTCCTTATCGTTCCTGCGACGACTGCTCTTCCCGCCGTCCTGGCGTACATTGATATTCCTGCCAATCGCCGTGGCGCTGGGAATGAAGCTAGTGACCATCACGAACGAGGACCCCTACTACGCTGTCATGAAGCGGGCGCCAGCGATCGGGACAATCTGGGTTTGGAGTATTTTGGAGGTTCCGCTCGGAGCGGCACTCCTGGGCGCGCTGGTCCCGATGACCTGGGCGGTTTGGTGGAAGGGGTACGGCATACTTTGAACTGGGACTGGATGGAAAGACCTGGACCTGAAACGGGAAAATAATCGATCAATAAACGCAGCTCGCCAATGCCCTCTCAGCGCCGTACACTCCTTCCGCACCCTATTTAGATATCTTCCGGCTTTCAAAATAGTAGATACCCCTACGGATATGTCGCCCGGTGTCGGCTGCAAGTTAACACTCGGGGGCTTAGGGGGGAAGCACGCGCCTGTCCGCGTTACGTGCCCCCTAGGTTGGTGAAATATATGGTAAAGGGTCATCGGAAAGACCGCGTCTTACAAGATCCCAGACGTTTCAAGAGTTCATAGGACAAGAAACTACTGCATCGTCTTCAGTAATTGCGACGCATTTGATAATCTCTATGCCAGGAATGGAAGTGAGGCCAACACATTCTCCGAGAGTCCAGCCCAGGGGCAGAGGATTGCCACCAGTGGCTGGCCACTACGTTACTAGAGCGTCTCAGGTCCGTCTCCCAAGAGGCAAACTAGTCCCCAGATGGAAGATTTGAGACGATTTTCTGGCTCGGTGGCTTGTGCGACCGAGAGAGTCGACTGGAAACGCTCTTCTACATATGCGACGAAGGTTCTCCCGTGTTTCGTCAACCAAAGGGAGAGGCATGGACAATGCAAGCCAGGGGCTACAAGTAGTCGAATACAGACGCCAGGAACCTCGGTAATTTGGACCCCCAAGTCCGACAGGCTGGGATTGCCAAGGCCCTTGCAGGATCATTACGCTTGGAAGGAATCAACACATTGTATTGTTCGGCGAAAGGATTCAGGAATCGGGACTCCAGGAGGCAGTTCAACCCTTCGAGTCGAAGGTCTGGGGAGATGTCGTGCGAGCGAAACGGAAATTCTTGAACGGGTCCATCAGGCACTTCCGGAAGAAAAAGGAACAAGGGAATTGGTCCTTGCGGCCGATGATTTTTTCATTCTCGTGTTTATTTTGTTTTGATCAACCGTCAAGGCGTGTCAACCTGTTACATTCCCAGTCGAGTGGAGCCTTTCATTTCTCGCCCAGTCGCTGCTCGCTCGGCCTTTAATTAGCGGCAGAACGGACTAACTTGTCTTTGTAATCTCCTGTTCACAGAGTACGGAGCACCATGGACATTATTGGATCAAGTCCACCCCTCGAGAACTGCGAGAAGATACAGTGCCCCGAGCACGTCGCAGGGCTCGGGGCCTTAGGAGTTAGGAGGCACTTCCAGCGATTCAACTCTAACTGGCATGCTGTCATGCCCGGCCATCGGGCATCCTGACAGCTCCACGGGTGAGGATCTTGAGCGCGACCCAATCCGCTCACCCATGGGCGACAATCTCTTGTCCGTTTCCTGGATTGGCAGGTGGTAACGACCGGTTCTGACTCGTGGCGACGGTCTCACTGCCGGTTTGGTTCGCTTCAGCCGTGGGCCTGGTGGAGCAGCCTGCTCGTCATGTTCCAACGCTAGAGAAGTGTAATGGTCACCGGCGCGAGTGGTGCTCTTCGCATGGCTCGCAGGAAAAATGATCCCGTCTGGCTATCGTCTCTCCGCGTCAATAGTCTAGAATCCTCTCCGGAGTACTTTTTTGGCTTTTTTCGCTCGCCCATGGGTGGTTTAGACTTAGCGTTGCCACCCCGTCCTCGGGCGACGCTTTCCCAATTCCCATTCGTTTGGGTTTGGTTATGGGCTCTAGGGGATGTGCATCTCTTAAATTCCCATATTTGTGCTGTTCCACATGCCCGTTCCCACTCCAACAAATGCCAACGACTCCAAGGGGGGGAGCTGAACCTAAGCGAGGTTCCTCTGCCGTCTTTCCTGTCACCTTGCGAGCCTCCGTGTTTTGTCGATCTCCCCTCGCAGATGGGTCGAGGTCTCGAAGACCGAAGGGGATGGATGGCCACTGGGGCAGCCTGACGAGCCGGAACCTCCGCACTAAATTAGTCGAACCTGGTTTCCGGGAGACTAGAGGAGAGATGGTGGGAAAAAGACTCTTCATATCGTGGCCCAGATATTCAGAATTCACGGAGTAGTAGCCTCTTAATCTCGAGAATTTCTAAAATAAATATTGAGCCCTGCCGTCCTGCTTCCCCACACTTATTCTCCCTTGCTCCCCCTTCCTTCCTTCCTTCTCTCCCTTCTTTTTATCTTCCCTGTGATTCCAGTCTCGGAATCATGCCCCGACGCCTTCAGCATGACCAATGCGGACGATGACCGCAGTCTCGAGGTCCAGGCGGTCGCCGCCGTCTTCATGTCGGTGGCCTGTGTCGCCGTCATGATGCGCTGCTATGTGCGCGGATGCATTGTGAAGGGTTTCGGATGGGATGACGGGACTATGGTTATTGCCATGGTATGTCTTCCCTGACCCCGGGAAGGGTGACGCCGGACATTGTACTAATCAGTCGCAGGTATTCCATGTCATGTTCTCGGCCTGCATGATCGGAGGCACGATCTACGGCACGGGGCGGCGATTCGCCGATCTCACAGCCCATGAACGAGTCACGGCCATGAAGGTATTTGCGCACCACCTTCCATGCTTTCCAGAGAATTACGGCATGAATACGTGTTCTTCGAATCTTCTCTAACAACTGCCGTACAGTACTGGTGGCTCTGCGAAATCGCCTACTGCTTTGCCTCTATCTTCTGCAAGATCTCCGTCTGCATCTTCCTGATGCGCATCACCGTCAAGCAGATCCACATCTGGGCCCTGTACACCGTTATGGTGCTTACCGTACTAGCCGGTCTCGTTTTTATGTTCCTTATGTTGCTGCAATGCAAACCACTTGCCTACTTCTGGACCCGCACGGCCTTTGACCCGGATATCAACGGCCACTGCATCAACATCGATATCATCATCGTCATGACCTACGTGTATAGTGCGTTTGCGGCGCTGTGCGACTTCACGGTGGGCATCTTGCCAATCTTCCTGGTGAGGAAGTTGCACATGAAGAAGCAGACCAAGATTGCGGTGGTGGGTATTTTGAGTATGGCGTGCATGTACGTTCTTGATTGGGCTGGGGGACGTTTCGTTGGGCGGGTGCCATTATGTGCATGCTAACGGTGGATACAGTGCGTCGTCCGCGGTGATTATTCGCATTCCCTACGTCAAAACCTTTGCCGATCCGGATTTTCTCTGTACGTCCCTACCGTCCACGTAGTCCCCAATTTACCACTCCCTAACAGAACACCTCCAGACGCAACCGTCGAAATCGCCATCTGGTCCAATATTGAAACCGGCCTAGGTATAACAGCCGGTAGCCTCGCGACTCTGCGCCCGCTCCTGCGACACTGGCTGGGCTCGCGCTCCGACCCGGACTACTCGACACCTTTCCCGGGACGCTCGGCATCCCGACGGGCTGCCGGGGGTGCCAGTCGCGAGCGTCCATTCCCGCTCGGCTCCCTAGACAACGACGTGCAGAATCGGCTCCGGCCTGATAAATTGGCTGTCACGGTGACGACAATCCAGAGCCAGAGCCAACATGACGCGGATCAGTCGTGGCGCGGCGGTCCGAGTAGTCCGAACAGTAGTGAAGAGCGGTTAACTGTTGCCCAGCCGTCGCCGATCCTAGTGCACGATGGCGGCGAGATGGGATTGAGTATTCACCAAACGTTTGAGGTGACGCAAACGTCGTCCGGGGGTGCTGCCGATGCTTCTAGGGGTTCGGGTCCATCCGGTGGAGAGGAGCGGGTGGGAGTTCGAGAACATGTTTGATTATCATTTTGTTGGTGGATCTGTACCATACTATCTGCTGTATATATCTCGATAACGTAATACCTATCTGTAATTCTAATATGTTCCAGAGCAGGGAGGGTTCAAGAAGAACGGTAGATCAGAGGGTGTGAAGAAAGGTTTATATATTTCGGCTTACGCAGGCGAGTAAAAGTCAACAATAGGTGCTTGAAGTCACCGGTATTCCTCGCACCCATACAGCCTCATGTCAACAGCAATTCATGGCTGTTGGATTGTCTATCGCTCATGAAGGATGAACTAGTACTCGAACTTCTGCCCCACGATCTCCTCACTCAACTGCCACAACTTCTCGACGGCCTCGGCATCCGTAGCATGCGCATCCGGCCTGTCAATTTGGCTATTCTGCAAGAAAGCCGGCGACTTGTCAGGTAACTCAGGGTCAAGCGTTGCGATCAGCGCCGTGGCCGCAATCTGCGACAGAGTTTTGAATCGGGGCTCTTCGAACACGAACTCGTTGCCGGTGTTGCGCTTGATAATGGGGTCGATCAGCGCATAATCGTCAGGACCCAGATGAGTACCCAGCTCGGTCTCCAGGTTATATCCGGGATGGAGAGACGTCGAGGTGATACCGCGGTGTTTGATGCGGTTCGTGAAGCCGATTGAGAACAGGATATTGGCGGTTTTGGACTGCGCATAGCCCGTCCACCCATCATAGGTCTTGCCGCCAGAGAAGTTCCAGTCGTCAAAGTGAAAGTGGGAGATACGGTAGCCTGAGCTAGAGACGTTGACAACGCGGGAGGGTGCGGCTGCCTCCAGAGCCGGGACGAGCAGGTTGGTGAGCAGGAAGTGGCCGATATGGTTGGTCGCGAGCTGGATTTCGATCCCTTGCTTGCTGGTCGTGTATTCTTTAACGACCATCACGCCGGCGCAGTTGATCAGGACATCGATCTTAGGCGCGACGGCGAGGATTTGTTTGGCGGCGGACCGGACAGAGTCTTGGTCCGATAGGTCGATGTGGACAAAAGACGTCTTGATCGAGCTGTCAATTGCCCTGATCGCCTCGAGAACGGGCGTGACTTTGCTCTCAGTGCGAGATGCGATGACAATATGCGCAGGGGAGCCCTTTGCTAGGTAGGTGACGATTTGTTCGCCGATGCTAGGTTTACCGGCACCGGTGATCACAAAGGTTCGGCCTTGGATTTGCGGCGCAAAGGCTTCGATGACCTCTTCGCTAGTGGTCAGACCATTGAAAGATGGCATGGTGATTTGGATTTGGGTACAAAGATAAGAGATGTCTGGATGCTTTGCAGGTTGTTGTGAGAAAAACCAGAAGGCCTACAGGGACCTCATGCGGATATATATAGCCAGGTTGACAAGGATGACGACAAGCAGAATACAAAAGACGAATCGAGCACGCATACGACGGCAACGGCCCAATTGGCATGTCTCATCCTTGAGCCTTTCCGCTGGGACTGTCCCGGTCCGAGAGATCGATTCTCGATCATTAGTGCTGATGATGGACGATGGTTTGGCCTGCGAGATTTAGACGCGCCGAGCTTGATAGATTAATAATGCAGGGTTCGACGGAGACTTCGAGAGCTCTGGTAGGTCGAGAAAGATCTAAATGCGCCGGTATCTAGCGAAGAACTGGAGGACATCCTTGTTCATACGCCTCCGATGCTCGGTGTGCCTGCGGCTATCAACGCAGGCCAAAATGTCCCGCGAACATCGCTCGGTCGGTGAGTCAAAGACGCGGAGAATTTGTCTGTTTTCCGGATCTTTCGATTGCTTTCTCAGTTCATTCGTGAGCATGACCAAAGAACAGACCTAGCACATACTCCGTAGTTAGATGCTCGTAATCACCGGCGAAATTCGCCGGACCCCACTCTTTTAGAGGCCAAGCCATGCACGCGTCGGAGCCGAGACCGAGAGACGCTGGTTGAAGGGAGAAAATCGAGAACAACAAGAGATAAATCATTTAGTCCCGCTGGGCCATGACAACCCGATTGTTGACGAGGACTCACTCTTGAACCGACAGAGGGTTAAAATTGACTGCAAGGAAGAACCGCAATTAGCCTCAAGTCCGTTGAGAACTTGTGGTCCTCTGAAACCATTCTTCAAATGGAGTCCCTCTTCACTTTGTTCTACGTGTCTTTCCTCATCTTTGTCTCTATTGTCGTGCAGATAGCCAGGTTCAACAGGCGAAACATGAATAACCAGCCAGTCCACAGCGAGAGGAGAAAGAAAAGCGATGGAAAAAGCCTAAGTCACCCTCTCACCCTGCTTAGCTATCTGCAACAGCCGAAACGCGTCATCCAACCCCCCACAATCCACGATTCCTCGGCCCAAATCCTCCAACCTCGCCTCCGCCCGATCCCCTTCCGATGAACCTGGATCATGATTGACTATCAAGCTTTCCACGACAAAGGCCGCCGTCTTGGCATCCCAAAGGCCCTCTCGTTCCGGGACCCCGGAGTGCAGCAGCAGCGAAACAGCCAGCTGCCGGGTCTCCCGGTTCTGCGCTTTCATGCAAATATAATACAGCGAAGCGATCAACTGCGTGGATAACATGAACCCTGATCCGGACAGCGGGCTCTCTCTCTCTGTCCTGGCCATGTCAAGGATGGCAGAGATCTGCGTCAGTGCGGCCTCGAGATGACTGTCGATGGCGCCACCTATATCTCGCATTGACGGCGGGAGGGTGTTGTCTTCTACTAGGATACCGTGAAACAATTCGGCTTGAATTTGTAGGAGGAGGACATGCTGTCGGGGCCTTTGGTGTTGGTCGATTCGAGCAAGTAGCTCTGCCGTAGCGAACTGGAATGTCTGAAACGAGGATACAATAGCCAGCCGTTCGCTCTTAACGGATATGGGGAGTTGATCCCATGAGCAGCGCTTCAAATCGAGGTAGTTTATGATATGGTGCATTGTGATGTTTTGTAGGCGGGTCAGCACGTTCTCTGCGTGAGAGGAATCGACAAAGAAATCGGGAACGAGAGCGGATGAACACGACGCCATGTCCTCTGGTGGAAGTAGCCGAAGCCCTGGGAACCGATCGCTGTCGAAGATACTAGCCTGGACATCGAGCCGGGCGAAAATCGCCATCAACTGATCGGACATGCCGTCTAACGAGGCAAACCTGGTCGGGTTCTCGACGAGAGTGCCTTGAAGTAGTCTCAAACCCTGATCTAAATGCCAAGTGGCCTGCTTCGTGTCGCCGAGCAAACACTCAAAAGTGTAGAAAATGAGGCCGCAGATAAGGGCGACCTCGACGGAGGCGCCCGGGGAACGAAGATGCGCGGTTAACTGCCGATGACATTTCGAGATGATCTCAATGCTCTTAGACCGGCATTGCAGCGACACCGGGGGCAGATTCGATGCATCGGATATGTGGTCCAGGTACAGCGAGCTCAGGCCCACGAGGGCGCTCCGGATGACCGGCTGATGATGGCACCGCTGCAGGATTAGCTGCGTCCACAGGGTGGGATCCGAGAATCCTGCCAGTCGCTCGGCTGCCTCCGAACAGTAGAAATGGAGGAGTTGACGATCCACCTGGCTGCCGGGCACCTTGAAGGGGATGCTGTACGTCGTGATACTGCCGGCCGGGCTAGGCCGCGCCGTGGCTGGTCCTGTATACCCCCCGCAGGTTCGGCCGGTCCGCACGCACCGCAGGCATTCCGGAGTTGTCTCGTCGCATTTGATACGCCGGGCCCTGGTCGGTTAGAAGAGCGGATGCCAGGAAGCACTCTGTTGGGGAACGGACTCACTTGCAGGTGCTGCAGCCCGATCGGACCTTTGGAGTGCTGCGACGGGGCTTCTTGGTAGTTAGCATGGGAAGGGGCGGCGACACAGAGGTGAGTTTTGGACGGACACGGATTGAGATGGTCTCGACGTAAGACATCGTCCTTTCGTCGGTTCTGGGGGCCGAAAGATCCAGCTGAAGGCAGCCATGACGACATCCGCTGACGGCTCCCGATAAGAGGCGGGCGATAAGACGCACCCTCACCGCTTTCCGGACAAGGACGGGGGAAGTATATACCAAGGAGCGTACTGTATGAACATGTACAATTGATGTACAATCGATGTACATGCACTCCGTACCATTGGATACTATCGATAGTCAAGATCCCCCAGGGACTCGGAATTTCCTGCTGTTTGCGAGACGGCGGTTCTCGGCGGCGGCGGCTCTGCTGATTGGTCCAAATCGCCGAGAGACGCCGGGCGCGGGGGGGCGTCTCCAATGAGGGCGGGCGATAAGTTTACATCACGGGGATTTAAGAGCTTCGGCGCGCCCTGCTCTCGCTCGCTCTCAACTCCAATTCCCATTCCTCTCCCTCTGGTCTTCCTATCGGACTCCAATTGAACTCGAATCCATTCCATTGGCTTTCAATTGACTCGACTCGGCGGCGATCACCCCTCCGGCGAGAGCTGTTCCTCTCTCATCGCTTCTTTATCGCCCCCTCCTCCTTCCTCTGCCTCCTCAGATACCCCTCAATACACCACCGCACACAATGGCCACTCTCTTCCGATCGAGCCTCCGATTGCGCCCTGCGACGCGTCTTCCGATCGTCCGCACCATCAGCACCTCCCCTTCGCTGCGCGCTGCCGCGAAGCCCTACTTCGCCGACGAGCCCGCCGCTCCCAAGCTGGCCACCGCCATCCCCGGCCCCAACAATCAGAAGGCGACCGCCGAGCTGAACGAGGTCTTCGACGTGCGCAGTCTGAATATGCTGACCGATTACTCCAAGTCGACCGGTAACTAGTGAGTGCAGGGAGAGAAAGCGGCACACCTGCCGGGGAATATACGTCATAGGCTAACGACAGGATCAGCATTGCCGATTTGGACGGAAACGTGCTGCTGGATGTGTAAGTGGCGACGAGGGGGGGGGGGGGGGGGGGGGGGGGGGGGGGGGGGGGGGGGGGGGGGGGGGGGGGGGGGGGGGGGGGGGGGGGGG